ACCAGTTCACCCCTGCCTATCAGCGTGTGACGCACTGCACGTGTGCTCGGACGGGCCGTCACCTGGCCACGTTCACCCGTCGGCCAGGGTCCAGCCTGTACACCCTTACCACTGAGTCTCCTCCTGTCACTGCGACTGGTCAGGTAGCCGCGTCGGTTCAGGTGTTTGCTGCAGCGTCCCGGTCTGACCCTGAGTCTGCCCCCTGCTCGTGTCGCCTCCTGTCTCACGAGACTCTCCTTTGGCACCACCGCCTTGGTCACCCCTCCCTGCCTCGTCTTCGAGGCATGGCCTCCCGTGTCCTTGTCTCAGGTCTTCCTGAGTCCCTCCCACCCCTTCCTCCGGGGCCTGCCATTACCTGCGTTCCCTGCGTCGAGGGCCGGCAGCGCGCCGCTCCTCACTCCTCCGAGTTTCCTCCGACAGAGGCTCCCCTGCAGACTCTTCAGATGGACGTGTGGGGCCCAGCCCGCGTCCGTGGACAGGGTCACGAGCGTTACTTCCTGCTGGTTGTTGACGACTACTCGCGTTACACCACGGTCTTCCCCTTGCGCCGCAAGGGTGAGGTCACTGAGGTGTTGATCGACTGGATCCGCGCTGCTCGTCTCCAGCTCAGAGAGAGTTTCGGCTCAGACTTTCCTGTTCTACGAGCTTTCTGTCGGGCGAAGGGCATCCGCCAGACGTTCACGCTTCCGGCCTCTCCACAGCAAAATGGGATTGCTGAGCGCCGCATTGGCATGGTCATGGATGTCGCTCGTACGTCCATGATCCATGCGGCTGCTCCCCATTTTCTGTGGCCGTTCGCGGTTCAGTACGCGGCGCATCAGATCAACCTCCAGCCCCGGGTCTCCATGCCGGAGACCACCCCCACTCTGCGGTGGACGGGGAAGGTTGGCGATGCGTCTGCGTTCCGTGTCTGGGGATCTCGAGCTTTCGTCCGCGACTTGTCTGCGGACAAGCTGTCCTCCCGTGCCGTTCCCTGCGTCTTCCTTGGCTTCCCCCCTGACACGCCTGGTTGGCAGTTTTACCACCCCACCTCGCGCCGTGTTCTGTCCTCTCAGGACGTCACGTTTGACGAGTCGGTTCCTTACTACCGTCTCTTCCCCTACCGCACTGCCCCCCTCCCCCCCCCGCCACTCTTCCTCGTGCCAGGTACTCCTCCGGTAGACCCCCTACCCCCTCAGGGTCCTGCCCCCTCAGGTGTGTCTCAGGTAGACGCAGTCGAGCCTGTTGAGGTAGCTGTTGACTCCGGTGCTGCTAGGGGTGCTGAGCCTGCGGGTGCCGGTTCTGGGGGTGCTGAGCCTGGGGTTGCTGAGTCTGGGGGTGCTGCGCCTGGGGGTGCTGTTTCTGGGGGTGCTGAGACTGGAGGTCCTCCGAGTGTCCCGTCGCGGCGGGAGCCACTCTCTCCACGGCAGCTTCGTGAGTGGTACGCTCGGCGCTGTAGCCGTGCTGCTGGAGCTAGGGGGCCTGCTGCTGGAGGTGCTGCTGGTGCTGGAGCTGCTGGAGGTGCTGCTGGTGCTGGAGCTGCTGGTGGTGCTGCTGGAGGTGCTGCTGGTGCTGGAGCTGCTGGAGGTGCTGCTGGTGCTGGAGCTGCTGGTGGTGCTGCTGGAGGTGCTGCTGGTGCTGGAGCTGCTGGAGGTGCTGCTGGTGCTGGAGCTGCTGGTGGTGCTGCTGGAGGTGCTGCTGGTGCTGGAGCTGCTGGAGGTGCTAGTGCTGGAGGTACTGGCGCTGCTGGAGGTCCTGCTGGTGTTGGAGCTGCTGGCGGTGCTGGAGCCGCTGGTCCTGGAGGTGCTCGTACTGGAGGTACTGGACCTGCTGCGGGAGTTGGAGCTGGAGGTGCTGGAGCTGTTGGAGCTGGTGGTGCTGCGGGAGTTGTAGCTGGAGACCCTGGAGCTGAGGGTGCTGGTGCTGTCTCTTCTGGTTCAGGACACGCTGCGCGCCGGCGGCCGTACTACGTTCCGCTCCTTCAGCAGGTTCTTGGCCTCCCGCCCTCTACTGGTCCTACTCCTCCCCTACTGAGTCCACCGCCTGTCCTGTCGCAGTCACAGTTACAGCCAGCCTCTCCACTCCCTGGTCCTTCTCCTTACTCTGGACCGACTAGAGGTCTTACGGAGCGTCGTGAGCCTGATTCTCGTCCTGCGTCGCCTGAGTCTCGTCCAGAGTCGCCTGTACGAGCTGTCCCCACTGGTCGTCGTGTTCCGCGTGAGCGTCCTCCACAGCGTGTTCCTCTGCCATCTCCTCCTGCGTCCTCTCTTCATGATGGTCCGGACCCGGAGTCTGACTCCCTTCGTGCTGCCAGTCCTACTGTCACGCGTTTCCTCGCTACTGTTGTCACTGACCCTTCCTTTGAGTCCACTGCTGCGTCTGCTCTAGTTGCTGAGCTTGTTGATTTTGTTGCCGTCTGTCGTCTAGACTACGCCACAAGCCTTGTTGCTGAGTCTGAGTCTGTCTGTCCTCCGTCCGTCGGGGGTGAGTGTGCTCTTGGCACGGACGTCCTTGAGGACAGACAGGAGGAGTTTGAGTGCTTTGCCGCTGCTTTACCTCATCTCGTGTCCATGCTGATTGCCCCTGAGGGAGACCCGGATGCACCAGACATCCCAACCCCGCGCTCTTACGCAGAGGCGATAGAGGGTCCCTACTCCTCTCAGTGGCAGTCAGCCATGGACGCAGAGATGGCTTCCTAGAAGTCCACAGGCACCTACGTCAACGAGGTTCCCCCGCCTGGGGCGAACATCGTCAGTGGCATGTGGATTTTCAGGGTGAAGCGGCCGCCGGGTTCTCCGCCTGTCTTCAAGGCGCGTTACGTTGCACGAGGCTTCAGTCAGCGTGAGGGAGTTGACTTCTTCCAGACCTTCTCCCCTACCCCGAAGATGACCACTCTTCGGGTTCTGCTGCACGTCGCCGCTCAGCGTGACTACGAGCTCCACTCTCTTGACTTCAGCACTGCTTTCCTACAGGGCAGCCTGCACGAGGAGATCTGGCTGCGCCGCCCACCTGGCTTCACTGGGTCGTTTCCTCCTGGTACCCAGTGGAGCCTCCGGCGGCCAGTCTACGGTCTCCGCCAGGCACCCCGTGAGTGGCACGACACACTGAGGACTACTCTTACTGCTCTTGGGTTTGCTCCTTCTACTGCTGACCCGTCGCTGTTTCTACGCACCGACACCACTCTGCCGCCGTTCTACGTTCTCGTGTACGTAGACGACTTGGTCTTTGCTACTGCTGACACTGAGGCACTCGCCCACGTGAAGTCGGAGCTGCAGAAGAGACACACGTGCACAGACCTGGGTGAGCTGACAAGCTATCTTGGCTTGCGGATCACCCGGGACAGAGCACAGCGCACCATCACCTTGACTCAGTCACACATGGTGCAGCAGGTCCTTCAGCGCTTCCGCTTCACGTACTCCTCACCACAGTCCACTCCTCTGCCTACCGGTCACTCGCTCTCAGCTCCACTTTCGGACGAGTCCGTAGAGCCGAGTGGCCCGTATCCAGAGCTTGTGGGCTGCCTCATGTACCTGATGACCTGCACTCGACCTGACCTAGCCTACCCTCTTAGAATCCTAGCACGCTATGTCGCTCCTGGCCGACACAGGAAGGAGCACATGGATGCTGCTAAGAGGGTGTTGCGCTACTTGTGCAGTACGTCGGGCATGGGGCTCGTGCTTGGAGGGCGAGGTCCAGTTGTCCTCACTGGTCACGCAGACGCTTTTTGGGATGACGACTTCGCTACGCAGCGGTCGTCACAGGGTTACACCTTCAGCCTTGGCTCCGGCTCTGTTTCGTGGCGGTCTACCCGCTCGTCTTCTGTTCTCAGCTCCAGTTGTGAGGCTGAGATCTACGCTGGGGCCATGGCTGCTCAAGAGTTACGCTGGCTCACCTACCTGCTGACCGACCTTGGAGAGCCGCCTTGTTCTCCTCCAGTGCTGTACGTCGACAACAAGGCCATGATTGCCTTGTGTCAGGAGCACAGACTGGAGCACAGAAGGAAGCACATCGCTCTGCGCTACTTCCTTGCTCGAGAGTTGCAGCAGCGTGGTCAGCTTCATCTTGCTTACGTGGCCATTCACGTCAACACTGCTGATGTCTTCACCAAGGCACTCCAGCCTTGTGATCATCAGCGTTTCTGTACTGTTCTAGGCCTTGTGCCTACTCTGCCTCACTTGCTTACTTCTTGACTCTGCTTGTACTGTGATCCTTATATATGTCTACGTGCATGTTTACACTTGCTAGGTTGTGATCACTGTACTTGTTGTTTTTTTCAAACTGCATGTGAACTGGTCTTGTGACCGCTTGCTTGTGCTCGGAATTTGTGTGGTATCCTTGAGATCCACCCTGAGCTTGCTTTGCTTTTCTGAACTGGTCTTGTGACCTCTTGTTCTCCCCCACTTTGCCTATGGGGGTGTGTCAAACATATAGCCTGTTTAGGCTGTAGTGGGTTAGACAATAGGGGGTACAGCATTTCTAGGGTCTCCCTATATGTACCCATCTCCTTTCTAGTTCATTCATTTCTCGTATTATTCTCACACAGAGCGCAGCAGCGATTCATGTCGCGTATGTAACTTGGTCAACATTTTGTGGTGCGCTTGGTACCCCAGCCTTCGGGCCAAGTAGGGCTGCACGAGCCACCCCAACAAGGAGGGCGATCTTAAACCTAGACTTCTTCGCAATCAGGTTAGTCGTTTTCTTCATCATGACTCTGAAACTGCAAAAGGGAACAAAGTCGGACGAAGGGTTAGGATTCAGATCAAAACTTGCACGATGGCGCCTGAGTCCAAGTGTTATCGATACTCACTTGTGGAACCGGTCCAGTGACAGCTCGTTTATGACACTCCACACGCCCGTCGGCACTGTCGAATTGGAGGTATGCATTCCACTTTTGTACATCTGCGGCGGGATCCCGTTAGAAGCGAGGTCACAATCTGGAAAGTACGCCAGCCAGCAGACGCAGACGGTGAAGTTTCTGCTCCAGGCCTCCTTATGTGATCCCATGTTCCGCTTCTTACCCCCTATTGTTGCTCAGATGTGTACCTTATCATCTCGTCGTTACCCTTGTTTCGCTCAAACAATCCGGGAGCCTTGAACGGCCGCTCCACTCCAGCTCTCTTGCCCACGTCGTCAACCTCGACTGTTGGCTGCTCATGTGGCTCATTGTCGGCCCTCTCTACCTCAGCTTCGCCCACATGCACCACCTGCAGAATCCCAGTACCTGGTACTGTCCCCTTGCCCCCACCCCGCGATGCATCAACTACATGCACACCCCCCTCCCCTAGCTATGTAATGTTGACAGAGCATAGCCTCTTCGCTGCCGGTCGTTCAGCGTCACCCTCTGACTGTAGTTGTAGACGTCTCCTGTCCCCCACTGCTTCTTGAGATTCCATCTCCTCCACATGCTTGACAACCCTTGTCGCAACCTCGGTCTCCCTCTCCCTATGCGTACGCCCATCATACTCTCGTTGAATCTGCCCCAATCCAATAATTGCATTCCTCTCCTGCATCTCCCCTTGCTTCTGCGCTCTTTTTGCTGCCGCCTTTGCTCTCCTTTCCTCCCTCTCCCTTTGCCTACGAGCATCATTAACGTCATCTTCAGAACGATCATCTGCAGATCGTACGTTTACCGAGTTTACTGGATGCGACCCTTCAGCAGGTCCGACCCCTCAAGCTTCTCCAGCACCCCGACAGTCCTTGAACTACCGCCACCGTTCCTAATCCCCTCTCCGCCGCGTTCATGTCTCGTAGAGTTTCCCCCTCAGGTAGTTCTTGCGCGTCGCGTGGCAACAATGGTCGAGAAGCCAATTCTCCCTCCGTCGGCTGCGCCCCCACCTGCCGCGCCGTCCTAATCCTCTCAACCAGGCCAGCGGCAATCGACATTCCTCGTCGTGCTGTCTGCCCAGGTTGGGATGTTCGGATTGGTGGTTCGGCATCTTGTTCAGCCAAATCTCCTCGTCCCCTCCCTCCCTCCGAATCCTCTTCATGCCGTTCGGGGACCCCCTCTCCATTGCGACTCACGGCCTCCGTTCCCCTTACATCTGCCTCGCTATCACTGTGCCGCCGATGCGCCTCCGTCCTCTCCTGCTCGTCCTCCATTACCAGCCGCGCCAGCTCGTCCTCCACTCGCTTTTGCTCTAACTCCATCTCCCTCTGCCGTCGTTCAGATTCCGCCCTCTCCCGCGTAGCCTCCTCCTCAAGGCGCTTCCACCTTGCCTCCGCCATTTCAAGTGCTGCTGCCCTTGCTGCACGCCTCTGCGCGGCCACCCGTTCCTGTTCGAGTCTTTGTCTCGCCTTCTCCGCCACTCTCGCAGCTCGTTCTGCCTCCTCTACCACTCTTTGCCGCTCCGTTTCTTCCTCGCGCCGCTTTCGCTGTGCCTCCTGCCTAGCACGTTCCTCATTCGTTCTTGCTATGTCACTCTCTGCACGCCCCCTCCTGGACACATCGCCGTGTTCGCTAGGTCTCATCTGCGCCTACCCTTCACCTCTCACCCGTTCTGGATCTCCCTCGACCCGTTTTTGCCTTGTCTCCTCTCCTGCAAGGCCTTCCTCACCTGCGGTTGGTATGACATCCTCTGCACGCCGTTTCTCTGCCGTCGTATGCAGTTCGAATCTTCTACCCCCCTCCCCCGATTCCACTCTTCTCCCTCGAACGAAGGGTGATTATCCTCTGCATTGTCCAACGCAATTACTTTGAATGTTCCCATCTTTGTAGGCCTCTCTGTCTCCAACCACCCCTATTTGCTCGTAAACCCCATCTCTCGACATGTTGGCGGCTGCGGCGAGCGCAACATCTAGAGAGATGTCACTCACGAAAGGTTGGGAAATCTGCGGACCGTGCATCGGATTTGGCTGCTGCCCCAGGCCACGTCCATCTAGCATATTTGTAGAGACTGGCGGAGCGTACAGAACTTGCCCGACCTTTTTCCTCCCTGAGAGTTTTTCATCCATCGCTGCCATAATTTCGGCTTTCAAACTTTCCAGCTTCTCGCAATTTTCGGCCATCCCCGATTTGATGTCTGCTAGTGTTTCTTGGACGTTGGCGAACACAACCTTCTTCATCGTCTCCATGTAGTCGTGGGGCAGAACCACCCTAAGCCTTCCCTCCATTGCCGCCCTACCATTGCCGCGTCCATCCCCTCTTTCACATTCTCCTTCATCGACCTCAAAAGTGCCTCGTACTCCCTTGCGACTGCACGCTGGATCGTTTCGGCTACTCTACGATGGAGCCCTTCGATCGAAGTGCTTATTTCCGTCCTTGTCTGCGCAGCTCTCTGACGCTCCATGATTGCGATCGCCTTAGCTTCTCTATATTCGCGCAGCATGTTTTCTGCGTCTTGGTTGTCTCTGTCCAGCGGGCAATGCGCGTACATGCGAATTGGAGTTGGCGGAGGTTTCCACTAATCCTTGCACTCTGTTGTACGGAGCTGTTGGCGACAGCCTGCGCGACTTGGGTAAGCCGGCGTAGAACCTCGCTCGTACTGTCCATACCTCTACCTACACCGGTTGCTCCCGCCTCTACAAACCCGTCATCTGTCTCCTCCAAAATCGCTGCACCTTGCATGACCCTTTCCCGCAGTGCGGTCTTGGCTGCCCTCCATTCTGGATCCACCTCATTAAGAACTAACCCTGTACTAGCCTATAACTATATATTATATTAACATATAAACATATAATTTGACAGAAGGCATCTACAGCAGGAACGACAGGCAGGGCATGTTTGGCGGGTCGCAGCACGAGCACCAGGAAGCGCGGCAGCGCTATCAGCAGCGTGTGTGGGGCGGCGCTAGTGCGAGCGCGAGCACGAGTGGCAGCACGTGCGTGAGCGGGAGCGGCAGCACGGGCGTGAGCAGCAGCGTGAGCGCGAGTGCGTGCGAAAGCGTGAGCGCAAGCAGTAGTGCGTGAACAACGGCATGCTAGCGCGAGGGGATGTGAGCACAATGGGGATGAGTAATAGGGAGATGAGTGGCGTGATGATTAGAGGGGCTGTGGGCTGTGGTGCTGAGCATAAGTGACAAGAAAGGGCCCGCCCTCACTTGGGCAAAGTCGACCTCTCCGCCAGTTGCGCAAATGTGTGCAATCGGCTGTTTTTCGTGGTCAACGTCGACTTTGAGAAACTCTTGTGGAAATGCGACGAAGTGCCTGCCGACGAGATTAACCCATCGTCCTCGTCTTGCACCGCCAGAAATGTGGCTCGCTGTAGTTCGCCATTTTCCCGTGCAGCAAGTTAGAGTCCGGCTTGACGGTGCGGAGTAATTAGCACTAGTGCAAGGTCAATCAATGTTTCGCCTACCTAGCAGACTCGAAGAATGCCGCCCTCGATTTCGGCTGCGGACCGAAGTCTCGCCGTCTGGTCGGCTACGCGGACGCCAACGACACTGGCAACAAGCAGATGCGCAGCAGCACAAACGTAGCTGTCCCATAGACAAGCTAGTGCAGCATGTGTCTAACATTGTCCTCGACCGAGTCAAAGTACATCACAGCAACAGAAGCCAGTAAGGAGGCACGCCGCCTTTGCTTCCTTCTTGACAGATTCCAACTCCTCGATGCCCGGACGCCGACTGTCTTTAATGTGGACAATCAGCCAGTGATCGCGGTCGCAGAAGGCTTGAGGCAGAAAAGCAGCCTAAAGCACATGGAGCAATGCTATATCTGGCTGCAGCAGATGGTGAAGCGCAAGACGTGTCATCTAACTAACTGAACGAGACCGATGAAGTAACAGCATGCAGGAGTAGAAATACCAAACCTAACATGCAAATGTGTTGTGCACCGTACAAAGTAGCTCAACCTAGCCTATAACTAAAAATACAATATTTCTACACACCCCCATATGCTAGGTGAGGGACATCTCAAGAGCAAGAGAAGTAACAACTCAGGGCGGGTCAACTAGTCCAACCACTGAGACAAGCAGCCACAAGACCAGTCAAATCAGAACAAGCAAGGCATGTGATGCAACACAGGGTCGTACAACTAGTTTAACCTCTGGGACAAATGGCCACAACACCAGTTTATGAGTTCATATATATGTAAACAGCATCACAAGCAGGACAAGATATGCAAGGCAAATTGTAACCAAGTCAGAACCTGCCAGAACAAGACCAAGCTGCGTGCAGAAACGGTGGTGATCACCAGGCTGAAGTGCCGTGGTGAAGATGTCTGAAGTGTTGGCCTCTGAGGCCACAAGAACCATGCGTGCCTGGTTACACTGCTGCAAGTCACGCAGCAGGAAGTAATGCAGCTGAATGTGCTTCACCCTGCCCTCCAGTATCGGCTTGCGACACAACAGGAGCATGACCTTGTTGTCCGTGAACAAGACCAGAGCAGAACGAGGCGGATCACCTAAGTTTGTGAGCAAGAAGGTCGGCAGCGGAGCTCTTGCGCAGCCATAGCACTGGCGTAAATTTCGCCCTCAACAATCAACGAGGCAATACACGACAATGTCTGAAAACCAACACTGGGGATGCCCGATTGATCCTAGGGAAGGGTTACAGGCTCGCTGGCCTAGGGGGTTATGGGCGCACTGACCCGCTACTTAACAAGCCCTTTTATCCCAATGGTCTAGTGATTGGGATTCTGACATGGTATCAGAGCTAAGGTCTTGGGTTCGAATCCCCATGTGTGCACATCCTGGCGGTGCCGCTGTGCCGTGTCCTAAGGCATCCCTGTGCGGGGGGGTGTCTGAAAACCAACACTGGGGATGCCCGATTGATCCTAGGGAAGGGTTACAGGCTCGCTGGCCTGGGGGGTTATGGGCGCACTGACCCGCTACTTAACAAGCCATTTTATCCCAATGGTCTAGTGATTGGGATTCTGACAGACGACCGAGTCAACCTCCACGAAACAAATTCTGTGCTAAGGCTGAAGTAATAGCCCTGAGAGGACCTGCAAGTCTTTGAGCAGTCAGCCCAAGAAGCATCGATGTGGCCAGTGGGTACAACTGACTGGCGTCCTCCAAACACAAACCCCATGCCTAATGTACTCGCCAGATAGCATAGTACCCCCTTGCGGCCGTCCAGTAGACATGTCGGTGTCTCCCTGTCGTGACAAAACGAGCAATGATGCTGAGAGGGAATGCGAGGGTTGGACGAGTGCAAGTCATCAAGTACATAAGGCACCCCACCAGCTCTGTGTACTGACCACTAGGCTCAGCGGGCTCATCAGGAACAGGACCCGTCAGCCCACAGCGCGGCAGCAGCGGCAGCAAGCGGGCAGCAGTAGCAGCAGTGCGTGACAGCAGCAGTGCGCGCAATAGGGCAGTAGGGCAGCGCGCGCCTGGAGGCAGCAGCGCAGGGCAGGCAAAACGAATCTACGATGATACCATGTGAGAATGAGAACAGCGGAATGAATTGGACTAGCAAGGGTTCGGTACAAATAGCTAACCCTAACAAGTTGCACTCCCTACAGCATGCATCACTATAGCCTAGCACAAACATTGATACATATAGTTTCACAAGGCCGCCAGCAGCGTGCACGCTAGCAGCCAGCGCGCTAGCAGTGCACGCATGCCAGCGCGCTTGCCAGCACACGCTTACCAGCAGCGGCGCACGCCAGCCAGTCAGCTGCCAGCGCACGCTGCCAGCCAGCATGTGCGGAGATAACTCTATCAACGGGAGCTAGACTACGGGCTAGGCACGGGGTAGGAGGGATCTCTGAGTTCGTTCGTTCCTTAGTCGTTTCCAAGTGCTCACACTACTTGCTAGTTCACCAGGAGAATTGGCAAGAGTTCCACTAGGAAAAGTTCAGAACAATGATACAACGAAGTTGGCAAGACAAGGCTACATCAGAGCTAGCATGCAAGCAGGTCGACTGCCAGCGCAGCATGGTCGACCGCGCTCCAGCACGACTTGGTCGACCGCGCTCTAGCAGTGCAAAGTCGGCGGCGTGCCAACGCTGCAGGTTGACGGCGTGCCAGCGTTGCTCCCGCTGAACAGCAGCGCACCTACTTCGCAGGTGCTCGCAGATGATTGGCGTGCAATGCCTTGTCACCTGCACAACGCACACACCAAGTCGTCCTCGTGCTGACGATTGCACCTGATCAGCCACGTCGACCTCGGGATACCACCACCGAGGTCGATCTCGCCAATACCACCTGGGCGACCGTCGCACTCCTTCGCAGAACCTCGTCACCCAGGTAACCTGGTTGACCGGGCAACCACCACGTCGACCAGCTGCTTCCTTGTGTGCTCGTCGACCTCCCAATTCGACGACCACCTTCAGTCGACCTCACCAGGTCGACCACAACCTTGGTCGACCAGCTCCAGGTCGACAACCCACCTGGTCGACCAACTCCAGGTCGACCAGCACACCTGTCAGCCGACCACACCCAGTCGGCTTCCCCTGGTCGACATACCCAAGTCGACACCCTCTACTGGTCGACCTCCCAAGTCGACCAGCCGAAGTTGGCGCCCTCCCAAAGTCGGCGCCCTTGCAGTGGCCCCCGTGCAGGTTGACCAGACCCGTCGACCAGC